CAATAATTTTTTGCTTTCACGAAGTCCCTTTTTTTGTTGTTGTTGCTTGTGCTGTTGGTGTCCTTCCTACCTAAGAAACCATTACTTAATTCAAGGTCATGAAAATTTATACCTACATTTTCTTCTAAGGATTTTGTAGCTTTAGCTCTTACATGTAGGTCTGTGGTTCGTTTTTACTTAATTTTTATATATGGCGTGAAATAAAGATCCAGCTTCATTTTTTGCATGTGAATATCTAGTTGTCCCAACACTGTTTGTTGAAATACTATTCTTTTCTCCACTGAGCTGTCTTAACACCCTTGTAAAAAATCAGTTGACCTCATGAAAAGGTTTTAAGCTGGGAAAAAGATATGATCTGATTGATACTTTAAAAGGATCAGTCTCTCCAAGGATGGCTTTTAGAGAGGCAAAAGGGAAGTAGAGCTGGGAAGCTGTTATAATAATCCAAGTTAGTCAAGTAATGGCCAAGACTAGTGACAGCAAAGAAGATGGCAAGCTTTATAAAGATTGAAGATAGTTTGGAGAGAGGATTGCCTTGACTCTATGTTTTTGCCACTTTTTCACTTGTCTGTGTCACAGCTGTCTTTTCTCCTTTTCTCCATTATATTTTCTCTTAAATGGTCTTGAGAATTTTTTGTTATTTTTGGAAGTTTTTTTTTTTTTTTTTTTTTACTTTACTGTTTTTTATTTCCTGTCTGTGATAAAACTCACAACTTATTTGTATCTACACTATTGCTAAAACCACAGCTTATTTGTATCTACACCTATTGTTTCCCTTCTTCACTCTTTCCTGGATTCTATCCCTCTTCACCTACTCAGTGATTTTCCTTTACCAGTTATATCCTGTGTCTTCAGTAGTTCTCCTTCTATAAGCCTTGTCCCATTAGATATACATTTTCTTAGGTGTATTCCATCTTTTTTTGAGTCTGGTTTTTAAAATGTAATTTATACATAGTAAAATTCACCCTTTTTAATGCACGGTTCAGTGAGTCCTAACAAATGTATATAGTTGTGAAACCATCACCACAGTCAAAAATAGAACATTTCATCACTCTCAAAAAGTTCCCTCATGTACCTTTGCAGTCAGTCCCTACCCTTCTTCCCTAGCCCTAGCAACAGATTTGATTTCTGTTCCTATAGTTTTGCCTTTTCCAGAATGCAATATAAATGGAGACATAGAGCCTATGGCCTTTTTTCATTGGGTTTTTTCATTTAGTATAATGCTTTTGAGATTCATCCATATTATTATACATCCCAGTAGTTTGTTTTTTAAAATTGTGAAATGATATTCTATTATGTAGATTATTCATTTATCCCCCTGATGGATAGTTGGGTTCTTACATGTTTTGGCCATTGTGGATGATGCTGCTATAAATATTTATATATAGATCTTTGGGTAATTTTTTTCATTTCTCCTGAGTAAACACATAGGAGGAGAATTACTGGGTCATTTAGTATGTGTATGTTTATAAGAAACTGTCAAGCTATTTTCCAAAGTGGATATACCATTTTGCATTCTTACCAACAGTTTATGAGAGGTTTAGTTCTAGTTGCTCGACATTCTTACCAACCTTTGGTATATTGATTCCTTTTTTTTTTTTTTTTTTTGAGACAGAGTTTCTCTCTTGTTGCCCGTGCTAGAGTGCAATGGCATAATCTCAGCTCATTACAACCTCTGCCTCCCAGGTTTAAGTGATTCTCCTGCCTCAGCCTCCAGAGCAGAGCAGCTGGGATTACAGGCACATGCCACCATGCCCGGCTAATTTTTATGTTTTTAGTAGAGACGAGGTTTCGTCATGTTAGCCAGGCTGGTCTCGATCTCCTGACCTCAAGTGATCTGCCTGCCTTGGCCTCTCAAAGTGCTGGGATTACAGGCATGAACCACTGTGCCTGGCCAGTATATTCTTTCTTTAATTATAGCTATTCTAGTAGGTATGTAATGGTATCTGTGTTTTTTGGGTTTTTTTGTAATGGAGTTTTGCTGTTTTGCCCAGGCTGGAGTGCAGTGGCATGATCTAGGCCCACTGCAACCTCTGCCCCCTGGGTTCAAGCGATTCTTCTGCCTCAGCCTCCTGAGTAGCTGGGATTACAGGCGCCCACCACCATGACTGGCTAATTTTTGTATTTTTAGTAGAGATGCGATTTCACCATGTTGGCCAGACTGGTTTCGATCTCCTGACCTCAGGAGATCTACCCGCCTCACCCTCCTAAAGTGCTGGGATTACAAGTGTGAGCCACTGCACCCAGCCCTCACTGTGTTTTTAATTTGCATTTCTCTAATGATTAATGATACTTTGTTGTGCTTATTTGCCATCTCTGCACATCCTTTGGTGAAGGGTTTGTTCAGATCTTGTGTCCATTTTTTATTTGAATGTTTATTCTTTTTGGGCATTTTATATGTTCTCAATACAATTTTTTCTTAGGTGAATGTTTTGTGATTATTGTCTCTCAGTCTGTAGCTTGTCCTTTCCTTTTCTCACCAGTGTCTTTTAAAAAGAAAACTTTTAATTTCTGTCTAAATTAAGTCTAATTTATCATTTTGTTGTGATTTGTGATTTTTGCTTAATAATCTCGGGCCGCAGAAAGTTTTCTATGTGCTAAATGTGGAAACAAATGTGAAAAAGATATACAAGATACTTGTCTTCGTTTTTCACTGAGTTTTCTTCTTTTATAGTTTTAGCTCTCGTATTCGAGCCTGTGATACATTCAAGTTAATTTTTATAAGCAAAGGTGAAGGCTTAGTTTTTTCATATGGATTGTTCAGCACCATTTGCTGAACGTGCTATACACCCCACTTGCTACCTTTATTTGAAATCAATTGACTATGTATATATGGGTTATCCCATATTTTAACAAAGACCTCCCTCAACCCCACATGCCCATTTAACTAAAAATGCATCACTTCCACCTCTTCACAACCATTCTTTAAAGTGTGGTCTAGACTGTGCTTCATCATTTCTTTCTTACTCCTTACACTGGCATCTTTCTCTACCATTTCATTAAAATGGTTCTTGCCAGAATCACCAGTGATCTGTGTTCAAGAGTTTTGTCCTTGTTACATGTGACTCTCAACGGTCTTGGACCTTGCTGACCCCTCCCTCCTCTTTCAAACACTCTCTTCACTTGACCAGTGCAACATGTCACCATCCTTCATATTTTTCTTCTGTTTTTCCATTTGCCCCATGTGTCTCCTTTGATAGTTTTTCTTTACCCATTTCTTAAATGTCATTGTCCCTCAGCATTCTGACCAAAGCCCCTTTTCCTCTTTGTTCTTTGCATGTTCCCTGCTTATTCCCATTTGTTCCCCTGACTGAAGAATCTCAAATTTATGTCTGACCCAAATCTTTCTGAGATTCATTTCTGCATGTCTAACTGCCTACCAGGACCACAGCTGTATGAGGAAAAAGTACCTTGTATATGTCTTGTTCACATTTATATTCACATGCCAAGTACACAGGACTTAATAACAATTTGTAGACTCTGATCAAATGAATACATGAGCAAACTAAACTGATACCACATATATTCCATGAATATATGACTAGAGGCACAAAATAAGTAAGTTACTTTTGGAATCACATACTTTGTCTTCACCATGGCACAGTTTTCCTTTACAGTTGGTAGTGAATCTTCGGATAAAGAGATGGGAATGAGATTCTGCACAGGGGCAGGAAGGAGATGCGAGAGTAAAGAGACATTTCTCCAAACATTGCAAACACTGTTTCTAAAGTTTTCTAGTCTAGTAATTGTAATTTTCTTCTGAAATTATGTATATTATTTGGAGAATAAAATAGTTAGTGGCTCTATTAAATTCTGATTGTAGCTTTAGCTATAACACATCATTCCTTTTTGAATTTCCACCAAAGTTTTTATATGTTGCTGTAACATTTTTTAAGACCTAAAGCAAGCTTGTCCAACCTGCAGTCCACAGGCTACATGCAACCCACAATGGCTTTGAATGCAGCCCAACACAAATTCATAAATTTTCTTAAAATATCGTGAGACTTTTTAAATTTTGATTTTTATTTTTTAGCTCATCAGCTACCATTAGTGTTAGTGTATTTTATGCGTGGCCCAAGACAATGCTTCTACCAATGCGACCCAGGGAAGCCAAAAGATTGGATGCCGCTGCCCTAAAGTGATTCTCAAGAGTTATATAAAACCGCATTCTCCATTGTTTTTGGCCCCAGTGACCAATTTCATGGAAGCTAGTTTTTCCATGGACTGATGGGTGGAGGCAGTGGTGTAGGATGGTTTTGGAGTGAAACTGTTCTATGAAACTGTTCTACCTTAGCTCTACCTTAGATCATCAGGCACTAGTTAGAGCATACAACCTGTATCCCTCCACGTGAAGTTCACAATAGGGTTTGTGCTCTTATGAAAATCTAATGCCACTGCTGATCTGACAGGAGGCAGAGCTCAGGTGGTAATACTTGCCCACCTGCCACTCACCTGCTGTGTGGCCCAGTTCCTCACAGGCCATGGGCCCATACCAGTCTGTAGCCCGGGGATTGGGGACTTCTGATATAGAAGATGTAAATTTGGTAATGTAGATTCTTTCGGATCTAATATGATGAATGGTTTTGTGATGATCTGAGTGCTCACATCTAAGAATGTATATGCTTGTTATGGATTTTGCATCATGCCAGTGCTTTGGGAATATATGGGAGATATTACTGCCCTCCTTACTGCCCTCACGGAGCACACACCTTAAGATACAGTCCTCCTTACTGCCCTCAGGGAGCACACACCTTAAACAGATAAAACACACAGCTACAATCAGTAAATAAACAGAAGCACCTATCAGGTAGTTTGTAGTATCCTTTGTATGTTACTTAGGAAAAAAGAGGGTATTCTGCCACTAGACATGTGTTTTTGGCCTTGCTTGTCACTGCATGCTGTTATGTAAATATGTTTAGTGTTTTTCCTTATCTGCCCTTTTCCTCTGTTCTGGAGTGTGTTACTCATATTTCTCTGTATCTTTCTTTCCTACATTTCAGTGAGCGGTTTCTGGTAAGACTGAACAAGAATGGTGGGCCAAGGAACCCAGAGAAGATTGAACGAATGTGTGCCCTTTTTACAGTATGTACAAATTCTCTTTTCCTTCTTTGCTGTTGACTCTAACCAGTGGCCTGCTATGTGGATATTGTCACCCTGAAAACAAGCATTTATTCTTATTTCCACACACATGAGAGAGAATAGGACTTGATTTACGTTTCTGTTAGGTTTTAATGAAATATTTATAGAAAACTGAAATTATATACAGTTTTAAACTTAATTTTTATTAATGAAATACAATCAAGTACCTTTCACTGATATAGATTGTATAAGCTATTTCATACCATAGACACTTAAAATCTGACAGAACCAGCCTGGACAACATGCCAAACCCCATCTCTACAAAAAATACAAAAATTAGCCAGGCATGGCATGTGTCTGTAGTCACAGCTACTTGGGGGTCTGAGGCGGGAGGATCGCCTTAGCCCAGGAGGTTGAGGCTGCAGTGAGCCAAGGTCACACCACTGCACTCCAGCCTGGGTGAAAAAGTGAGACCAGACCCTGTCTCAAAAAACAAACAAACCAACCAAAATCTGACATAGGTCTTTCTTACTATTCTTATCCAAGGCCACTGGGAATTTCTCTGAGGTGTATAATTTCTAATGCATAATTTATTTTAAAGGTATCCAACAAGTTTACAGCTTTGTAGTTTGTTAGTGAGTTCATATACAGCAAGACAAACTAAATAGTCCTCTTCCAAATACCAAATGGGGGATATTTTCCTACTGTCATCTGTACTTTTTATATATATATATATATACTTTAAGTTCTAGGGTACATGTGCACAACATGCAAGTTTGTTATATAGATATACATGTGCCATATTGGTTTGCTGTACCCATTAACTCGTCATTTGCATTAGGTATTTCTCCTAATGCTATCCCTCCCCCTAACCCCATCCCACAACAGGCCCCAGTGTGTGATGTTCCCCACCCTGTGTCCAAGTGTTCTCATTGTACAATTCTCACCTATGAGTGAGAACATGTGCTATTTGGTTTTCTGTCCTTGCGATAGTTTGCTCAGAATGATGATTTCCTGCTTCATCCATGTGCCTGCAAAGGACATTAACTCATCATTTTTATGGCTGCGTAGTATATACCATGTGTATATGTGCCACATTTTCTTTATCCAGTCTATAATTGATGGGAATTTCTGTTGATTCTAAGTCTTTGCTATTGTGAATAGTGCCTCAATAATCATACATGTGTGTGTGTCTTTATAGCAGCATGATTTATAATCCTTCGGGTATATACCCAGTAATGGGATGGCTGGGTCAAATGGTATTTCTAGTTCTAGATCCTTGAGGAATCGCCACACTATCTTCCACAATGGTTGAACTAGCTTACGCTCCCACCAACAGTGTAAAAGTGTTCTTATTTCTCCACATCCTCTCCACCATCTGTTGTTTCCTGACTTTTTAATGATCGCCATTCTAACTGGTGTGAGATGGTATCTCATTGTGATTTTGATTTGCATTTCTCTGATGATCAGTGATGATGAGCATTTTTTCATGTGTCTGTTGGCTGCATAAATGTCTTGTTTTGAGAAGTGTCTGTTCATATCCTTTACCCACTTTTTGATGGGGTTCTTTGTTTTTTCTCTTGTTACTTTGTTTAATTTCTTTGTAGATTCTGGATATTAGCCCTTTGTCAGATGGGTAGATTGCAAAAATTTTCTCCCATTCTGTAGGTTGCCTGTTCACTCTGATGGTAGTTTCTTTTGCTGTGCAGAAGCTCTTTAGTTGAATTAGATCCCATTTGTCAATTTTGGCTTTTGTTGCCATTGTTTTTGGTGTTTTAGTCATGAAGTCCTTGCCCATGCCTATGTCCTGAATGGTACTGCCTAGGTTTTCTTCTAGGGTTTTTATGGTTTTAGGTCTAACATTTAAGTCTTTAATCCATCTTGAATTAATTTTTCTGTAAGGTGTAAGGAAGGGATCCAGTTTCAGCTTTCCACATATGGCTAGCCAGTTTTCCCAGCACCATTTATTAAATAGGGAATCCTTTCTCCATTGCTTGTTTTTGTCAGGTTTGTCAAAGATCAGATGGCTGTAGATGTGTGGTGTTATTTCTGAGGCCTCTGTTCTGTTCCATTGGTCTATATCTCTGTTTTGGTACCAGTACCATGCTGTTTTGGTTACTGTAGTCTTGTGGTGTAGTTTGAAGTCAGATAGCATAATGCCTCCAGCTGTGTTCTTTTTGCTTACGATTTTCGTGGCAACGTGGGCTCTTTTTTGGTTTCATATGAACTTTAAAGTAGTCTTTTCCGATCTGTGAAGAAAGTAATTGGTAGCTTGATGGGGATGGCATTGAATCTATAAATTACCTTGGGCAGTACGGCCATTTTCATGATATGAATTCTTCCTATCCATGAGCATGGAATGTTCTTCCATTTGCTTGTGTCCTCTTTTATTTCATTGAGCAGTGGTTTGTAGTTCTCCTTGAAGAAGTCCTTCACATCCCTTGTAAGTTGGATTTCTAGGTAGTATTTTATTCTGTTTGTAGCAATTGTAAATGGGAGTTCACTCATGGTTTGGCTCTCTGTTATTGGTGTATAGGAATGCTTGTGATTTTTGCACATTGATTTTGTATCCTGAGACTGCTGAAGTTGCTTGTCAGCTTAAGGAGATTTTGGGCTGAGATGATGGGGTTTTCTAAATATACAATCATGTCATCTGCAAACAGACTATTTGACTTCCTCTTTTCCTAATTGAATACACTTTATTTCTTTCTCTTGCCTGATTGCCCTGGCCAGAACTTCCAACACTATGTTGAATAGGAGTGATGAGAGAGGGCATCCCTGTCTTGTGCCAGTTTTCAAAGGGAATGCTTCCAGTTTGGGCCCATTCAGTATGATATTGGCTGTTGGTTTGTCATAAATAGCTCTTATTATTTTGAGATACATTCCATCAATACCTAATTTATTGAGAATTTTTAGCATGAAGAGCTGGTGAATTTTGTCAAAGGCCTTTTCTGCATCTATTGAGATAATCATGTGGTTTTTGTTGTTGGTTCTGTTTATGTGATGGATTACATTTATTGATTTGCATATACTGAACCAGCCTTGCATCCCAGGGATGAAGCCAACTTGATCGTGGTGGATAAGCTTTTTGATATGCTGCTGGATTTGGTTTTATTGAGGAATTTTGCATCAACATTTATTGGGGTATTGGTCTAAAAATCTGCTTTTTGTTGTTGTGTCTCTGCTAGGCTTTGATATCAGGATGATACTGGCCTCATAAAGTGAGTTAGGGAGGATTCCCTCTTTTTCTATTGATTGGAATAGTTTCAGAAGGAATGGTACCAGCTCCTCCTTGTACCTCTGGTAGAATTCAGCTGTGAACCCATCTGGTCCTAGACTTTTTTCGGTTGGTAGGCTCTTAATTATTGCCTCAATTTCAGAGCCTGTTATTGGTCTATTCAGACCATTCAGCTTCTGCCTGGTTTAGTCTTGGGAGGGTGCATGTGTCCAGGAATTAATCCATTTCTTCTGGATTTTATCATTTATTTGCGTAGAGGTGTTTATAGTATTCTCTGATGGTAGTTTGTATTTCTGTGGGATCGGTGATGATACCCCCTTTATCATTTTTTATTGCATCTATTTGTTTCTTCTCTCTTCTTTATTTGTCTTGCTAGTGATTTATCAATTTTGTTGATCTTTAAAAAAAAAAAAAACAGCTCCTGGATTCATTGGTTTTTTGAAGGGTTTTTTTTTGTGTCTCTATCTCCTTCAGTTCTGCTCTGATCTCAGTTATTTCTTGCCTTCTGCTAGCTTTTGAATGTGTTTGCTCTTGCTTCTCTAGTTCTTTTAATTGTGATAGGGTGTCAATTTTAGATCTTTCCTAGTTTCTCTTTTGGGCATTTAGTGCTATAAATTTCCCTCTACACACTGCTTTAAATGTGTCCCAGAGGTTCTGGTACTTTGGTCTTTGTTCTCATTGGTTTCAAAGAATGCCTTCATTTAGTTATTAACCCAGTAGTCATTCAGGAGCAGATTGTTCAGTTTCCATATAGTTGTCTGGTTTTGAGTGAATTTCTTAATCTTGAGTTCTTATTTGACTGCACTGTGGTCTGACAGACAGTTTGTTGTGATTTCTGTTCTTTTACATTTGCTGAGGAGTGCTTTACTTCCATCTATGTGGTCAATTTTGGAATAAGAGTGATGTGGAACTGAGAAGAATGTATATTCTGTTGATTTGGGGTGGAGAGTTCTGTAGATGTCTATTAGGTCCACTTGGTGCAGAGCTGAGTTTAAGTCCTGGATATCCTTGTTAACTTTCTGTCTTGTTGATCTGTCTAATGTTGACAGTGGAGTGTTAAAGTCTCCCATTATTATTCTGTGGGAATCTCAGTCTCTTTGTAGGTCTCTAAGGACTTGCTTTATGAATCTGGGTACTCCTGTGTTCGTCGCATATATATTTAGGATAGTTAGCTCTTCTTGTTGAGTTGATCCCTTTACCATTATGTAATGGCCTTCTTTGTCTCTTTTGATCTTTGATGGTTTAAAGTCTGTTTCATCAGAGACTAGGATTGCAGCCCCTGGTTGGTTTGTTTATTTGTTTGTTTTTTCTATTTGCTTGGTAGATCTTCCTCCATCCCTTTATTTTGAGCCTATGTGTGTCTCTGCACATGAGATGGGTCTCCTGAATACAGCCCAATGATGGGTCTTGACTCTTTATGCAATTTGCCAGTCTGTGTCTTTTAATTGGGGCATTTAGCCCATTTACATTTAAGGTTAATATTGTTATATGTGACCTGAGAGACCTGGCTGTTAGGAGGAAAACTAACAAACAGAAAAGAATAGCATCAACATCAACAAAAAGGATATCCACACCAAAACCCCATCTGCAGGTCACCAGCATCAAAGACCAAAAGTAGATAAAAACACCTCACTGTCAATATTAGACAGATCAACGAGACAGAAGGTTATAAGCAGATGTTTGATCCTGTCATTTTGATGTTAGCTGGTTATTTTGCTCGTTAGTTGATGCAGTTTCTTCCTGGCATCGATCATCTTTACAATTT